CCATGTAGGTTTTGATTTTTTTCCCCTTAATAATAAAAACCTTCATTTAAAAACTGCATTTTTTGTTAACTTGTGTTATCTTTGTCTAATATTTCAATTTGTTTGATGATCTGACACATTTCAGTGTGACAAACATGCAAAAAAATAAGAAATCAGGAAGGGGGCAAACACTTTTTCACACCACTGTATTTTAATTCAATAGAAATATTGCTGTAAACTTTGAGAAGGGTCTTGCTGACAAATACTACTTAATTGTTAACTGTGCATGCAGAGGTAAAATGTCTGCTGTACAACCTGTATTTATTCACTCGTACTGTACATTACATTAGTCATTACGGTGACTAGTGAGCAGGAAGGGGTCACAACGTGGCAAGGCCAGGAGTTTGCAACAACAATAGCTTTATACAGTACTTTCACAAAGTTCACAATTTTGATCTTTATTCAAAATTGTAATTTTTTTCTATCATCAGTGAATTTATTTTGTTAGTGAGATTTAATAACCGGTCTGAGAACTTATGACTGCAGTTCCCCTTTAATTTGAAGAGTCAAGTTATATCTTAGAAAAGTGAATTCCCAGATAAAGTGTAATGTAACATGGTTAACATACAACATAACTGAGTCTGTAGAAGTTACTTTATATTTTGTAAAGCAATGTATTATGAAAATTAATCACAAGAGAACTAAAAACAGTATATAAAGATTTGGGGCCCTTTTGGAGAATAGTGCAGTGACTTGTGTGTGCGTGCAGGTGACCTTTGATATGACAAATCACCTGAGTGAGGCAGCAGTGGCCAGGCGGCAGCATGAGAGGAGGCAGCTGGAGGAGCTGGAAGAACAGAGACAGCGAGAGAAGCGGCGTGAGAGGGAGGAAGAGGAGGCTGACAGGTATAGTACGGTCATCTAGGGAGGGGGATGTGTGGACAGTCACTCACAAATGGTACAACAGGGAAAGACTCGTAAGAAGAGAGCACAAAAACACATATAGATATCCCCAAGACAAAGATGCACTACAAAGGGTTGTGGCTGCGGCACAGAGGATTTTAGGATGGGGTTTACCATGAATCGGTGAGATTCACACCATCCGCTATCGCAATAACGCCCAATCCATCATTCAGGATCCCAGCTATCCCGGTCACAAACTGTTCTCCCCCTGTTTTTTAGCAAGTGGTACCGCTCTATTAAATCATGGACCACTAGACTTAAGAACAGCTTCTATCCAACTGCAGTTCACATTCTCAACAGCTAACCTCAACGCCTCAGAATAACTGCACATCTTTAATATGCATTTTTCTGTGGTCTACCAGTTTTGTTTTAACTACTATATATTTATCGTTCTTCACAACATTTATTGTTATTTTTATTTATTATGTTTGTAATGTCCAAATTGTGTAGTGTTGTCTGTTGTGCTGTGTCATTTGCTGCACAAATAAGAATTCCAACGTACATGTGGCAATAAACTTCTCTACTATCTACTATTATCTACTGAAGAGCAAAGTGGCTGATTGCTTTGAAGAGCAAATGTAAAGTGGGGATGTTGGGTAGATTTGGACACATATGTGTTTAAACCTCCATCCTCCTACACAAACTTCCTCTTACCCATGCACACAAACATCACTTGCTTTTTGGGTGAATATGTTAACACTACATTTATAAAGATGTTTTTTTGTAAAAAGAATAAGGAAGGAGAGTCAACGGGAGAAGAAGCGCCAAGAGAAGCTGAGGAGACGAGCCGAGAGGCAGAGGGAGGCTTCAGAAAAGAGACTGTTCGCCACTAGAGATGTAGTCCAGGATATGGAGGAAGATGATGATTGGATGGAAGAAGAGGTTTGGGAGGAGAGGAAGTTGGTTCTGGCTCAGCGGAGGCTGCAATCCATTCGACTCCTCACCAGTTTGCTTCAGAAAGTTCAGGTACACAGTGTGTTTGATTGAAGAGTATCTCCACAGACTTAAAGATGAGCTTATGGGATATTGTGTGTGCCACTGGGATTCAGTTAGGTTAATGGTTTTATTAGACTTAGATCTCGTAATGATTTCTAAAGGAAGGAAGTGAAACAGAACAGTTTGTATAAGGAAAATGTTACTATGTGAATATAATATTGTGTGGTTTCAGATCAAATAAGAGTGTACTCATGAGCAGCCCTATAAACAGTTTAGGTTGTAGAGCAGAAAGGATTCTGACTCAGTGTTTGAATGTGAAGAAAATGAGGTATGTTGCCCAATTACCTTTTTCATTGGGACCAACCAGGGACTGAACCTCAGACTCTGGTAGTATCTGTACTCAAATCACCTAGGTTACCCAGTCCCACAGGTAATAAGGGTGACTTATGTTGGTAGTAGTGGAATGGCACTGCATAAATTAAAAAAAGACATATTGCATTACTTTTAACCTTATCTTCTTTATTGTTTATAAATAGGACCTTACAAAACAAAAGACAGAGAAAAAAAGTCTGAAGACTGAGAAATCTTCTTGTGATGATCCGGATTCTCCAGATGAAATCACTGAAGAAATTGTTGCCTCAAAAAGGGTATGGGGTATAAATTCTATTATGAACAAACCTATTACAAGTCTGACAGAGCCTGTGGTGTGTCCTCCAGATACAACAATTCCAGATTCTATTACAGATGACTTATCTTCAAGTCATGCCATTTTATCCCATGAGCACCCAAGTCAATGCTTTAACTATGGACCACTGCAGGTAACAATATGCCAGAGCCACTCAAACAGGGACTTAAGCCAACACTCACAAACAACTTCCAGTCAGAGAACACAAAACTCTTCATCTCCATTTAGAAGAATTGCTTCAAGCAAAGAGTATTTTTCTACAAGACACAAGAAAAAAGAAAAGATTTACGAGTCAGAGGAGTTCATGAATTTTTTACTGAACCACTATTCTCACCCAACTTATGCCAGGTTGTGCCAGAGCCCTCAGTCCTCACCAGCATCCAGTTGGCAGAGAGTGGTTTCTGACAATGGGAAAGGCTACCAGATTAGCTTGATGAACATGGATGGTGGATTCTGTACTGAGGTCAGCATCAGTCAGAATGCAAGAAAAATCAATCGCAGTGATGAGGACAGATACAAGTGGAAAATCACCATTAAGGAGAGAGAACCAAGCCGGAGAATGACTGGGATCCAGAGGAGCCCATCGCAGGGCTATGGCAGAGAGTTTGAGGTGTGCTGGAATGAGTCCAGCATGCATTGTGCCACAGAAGATCCTGAATATGTACATACCCTGGAAGACCTGTCTCCACTGCAGAATTTCACTGTGAAAGATTATGATTCAGTTAGCCACAGAGAATTTGCAAAGAAAAGGAAGCCTACGTCACTTACTTCCTTCCATCAGAGAACTTTCTCCACTGATGCACAAGTCCAAATCTTTGGAGAATCAAAACTTTTAGAGGTAGTCCCTGAGAAGGCCCATCTTGAAGGCCAGAGGAAGACTCAGATCAATATAGAAAAAACTGACAGTTTATCTAAAGGATATGAAGAGAAAGTTAGCAAAGTAAGTATCCCTGAAGACGGAGAGGCGAAGGAAAAAATATGTGAAGATGAAGGAGAGGTGTGCCCTTTGTCTAAGGAAGGTGATGCTCCTGGTGTAGCCAAAGCAGGACGAAAGAAGTCCAAAAAAAAGAGAAAAAAATCCAAAGGGTGTGTCAGTGGCAGTGATGCAGAAACATCTCAAGCGAACAAGAAACGGAAAAAGAAGAAGAAGAACAAGCACAAAAATTCCAAAGGTGAGAAACGTGTGGAGGAATTAGAAAAACGGAAGAAAGGCAGACTTTCCGAGTGGGACCAGCTACATCATAAACAAAAGCAAGGAACTAGTGAGCATAGATATTCTTTGTGGGACAAACAACACATGAAAGCAAAGACCATTTCTTACCCTAAACCTTGGAATGGCTTTGGTAACAGATACAATTATGGTAATGAGTTTGGAGGCTGGAATTATTACTATGTTAAACCTCATAAAAGATTTGATAGTAGCAGGGGATTTGCAAATGAGACTGACAATCCTGGAGCAAAGCCATCTAGCTGGTATGCTGGTGGCAGATATGCTGACATTAATCAGAATTTAGATATTGTTCCAAAGAAGAAGAAAAAAGAAAATTGAAACAGTTTTGAATCTTGATGTCCTAATGAGTTTGGATAACTGCCACTTTGATGCAAAAAGTTCATAAATATATTTTCAATGTTTTTGTCTGACTTGAAAACTAAGTTAATTCTTTCTGGTGTTTTTCAAACTCTTGGTACCTATTGCTCATTTTGTTTTCAATTTCTATAATTAAATATATATTTTACAGGGAAATCATTGGTATTATTTTATTGAATTCTTGCCAAATGCATACTTCTTTTAAATACAGGCTGGTTTATAAATTCAGGTACCTTTTGGGTTAAATAAGAATGTATCTAGTAAAATCTAAATGTGCTAACAAATTGAATGGATACAGTGTTTCACACCACTGACTGGTAAATTGTAATAACATGCATGGATGCAGGGGTAAAGTGCAATTAAGACTGTCTTTCTGAAATACACAAATGCTTACAAAATAATACTGGTCACCAAGGCTGTGGATCAGACTACTGTCGGCAATACCAGCGATAAAAAAATTATGCCTACCACATTTCATTCTGCTAATGTCTAGCTCTTACACTATATATTATAGATATTGCTCTTTCTTTAATGCTAAGAGTTTGAAAATAAAAGCAGTTCACTGCAGTCCAAGATACCCAAGTTGTTCAATTATTAAGAACTTGGCTGATTTGAACAATATTTGATAAATTGACATATTTGCTTTGGACATCTCTCATGTCTAAATCCACATTTCTGTTGTTGCACATTACGTTTAACATAATATTTAGGTTAATCTCACGAAACCTTTCATCTTTTTGATTTTCCTCATATAAATTAATTATATTGTGTTTGTATAGTTGAAGCTAATTTCAATTTGACTACTTAAGCAGGTGACTTGATCATTTAAGTCAATTTGCAAAAAATACCCAGGAGGCTGGATCTCTTAAGAATTAAAGCTCCCCATTCTCAACCAATTACCATACAATATTTACCAAAATGTATGTTTCAGGTCTTTATAAATGGCTGATATACTCGACCTATATGACCATCGTATATATAAAAAAAACTACTGTGTTATTTAGTATTGACTTTTCTGTTTAAATTTAAGAATAAAAACAGCGGTTCTGAATGCAAAACATGAAGATATAATAATAATAAACTATTTTATATAGCGCCTTTACAGGTGGCTTCTCACAGCGCTTTACAGGATGACAATAACAATAAAAAAGAAGACTGCAACAATAACTAAGATTTCACAAGATAAGACACAATTACAATTACAACAATAACAATAGAGGAGACCGTGGAAGTGGTACTAAGAAGAGCAGTGGGGTGAAGAATGGAACCAGTTAAGTAAAGGCTTTTCTGAAGAAGAAGGTTTTGAGTCTGGATTTGAAGGAGTTTAGAGAAGGTGACTCTCGGATATCCTTGGGCAAAGAGTTCCAGAGCTTGGGGGCATAGCAGGAGAAGGCCCTGTCGCCCATACAATGTAGACGGGCTTGGGGGACAGTAAGGAGGACAGAAATTGTAGATCGGAGGTTGCAAGGTGGGGAGTAGGGTGATAAAAGTTCAGACAGCTATTGAGGTGCCAAGCCATGTAAAGCCTTATAGGTGAGCATGAGGATTTTAAAGTCTACGTGGAATTTGACCGGAAGCCAGTGCAAGGACTCCAGGATAGGAGTAATGTGAACACTTGCACTAGACCTGGTCAGGATTCTGGCTGCTGAATTTTGGACTTACTGCAGTTTGTTCAGAGTAGATTTAGATACCCCAGGGAGTAGAGCATTGCAGTAGTCAATTTGAGAGAACACAAATATGTTGATCAGCTTTTCAGCCACAGTTAATGATAGCATAGGGCATAGTCTTGCGATATTTCTAAGGTGAAAAAAATATGTTTTGACAGTATGCTGTACATGTGGGTCAAATGTTAAGCCAGAATCGAATATAACCCCAAGGTTTTTCAATTTTGATTGAAGCTCAAGTACAGAGCCATCTACAGATAGGGTTACAGGACTGGCTTTACGAAGTTGATGGGGGGTACCAATAAGATCTTACTGTTCCATGGAAATGCTGGTAACATTAAATACTTCATTCATCTTCTAACCATTTTATCCAATACAGGGTCACAGGGGAGCTAAAGCCTATCCTGAAAGCAGTGGGCACAAGGCAGGATACACACTGAATGGGACACCAGACCATCACAGGGCACGCATAGACACAAACATACACATTCATACCAGGGGTAATTTTACAAGAAGCCATTTAACCCACCAGCATGTCTTTTGACTGAAAGGAAACCAGAGCACCTGGTGAAAACCCATGCAAATGTACTGTAGCCACAGCCCCAGGTCTGGATTGAACCTGTGGCTCCAGTGCTATGAGTCAGCAACTCTGACCATTGCGCCACCAGTCTGGGATATTGCAGACAGAAAACAAAACAGCATAGATAAAACTGAAAAGAGATTTATTAAGGTACATTTATTTCCAAGTTTAGATACAAACAGAATCAAAAACAAAATGCAATTCTTAATGCATGAATTTAAGTTAATGAAAGTTTTGAATATACTAACTCTATAACTAAAAATACCCAATATCAACTGCAAACCAGAAATGTTGATCAAGGTTTTAGGAATATGTGTTCTAACTTTGCCCTTTAAACATGTTGTAGACTTGTAATTTTTTAAAAATGCAAAAATATTCATTGAATAAAATTCAGTTTAATTCCATCTTCACATTTTGGAACCTCGGGGCATCATTCTGTACAGCCAATGTGTTTAACAAACCCATTTTACTATACATGAATGCTCAATGAAAATGGTTGTCACCTTTTCTGTAAATGCAGTTTGTGAGGCACCTCTGGAGTACAGCAGAGTTAAATTTAATGTGATCATGCTTGTGGAAAGCCTAGAAATTCTCATAGAAAGAAGGATAATTAATTTGCCTGTAATATTCCTAATGCTGTGTTGGTGCTAGATTGGGGAAGGAGCATTAGTGGGAGATTACCATTTGGAGCACAATATTTTGTTAAAACCAAGAGCTGTACGTCTTGAACCTAATCTATGTATGAGCCAAATGAATGCAAAATTCTTCACATCAACAAAGAATGACTTAGGTAGGAGCGGTGACAAAAGAATAAGAACTTAAACCTCTACCAAACCTTTAAGCACCTAACACCAAGAATAAAAGCAAGTATGACCATTTATCCATTGCATATTAAAACTAGTTTTGCCTAATTTTAAAAAGTGAATGACAATAAGTAATATAGCCTTTCTGTTATTTTAACTATTGTATATCCCCCGTCTTTATTTCTCCATTCTGTATTTTGGTCAGACCCAAAAACAATGGAAACAGTGAATGTGATTGAAGAACACCTATAAAGTTTACCATCTCCTCTACTTTGTACTTTGTTACTAAAATAACCTAGATCTTGGACTTTCTGCTATGCATTCCCCTTTATATCACTAAATCAATAGTGGCTATTGGTATTGCTTTGTCTTGTCCTCATTAAAAGTATATTTATTACTTCATATTCTAAAACAATGTCTTACAATAGTTTCATCTTTGAAATTGCACATTTTAATTGCAGACCAGTCACAAAACCCAGAGTTTGAATTTTAGTGAGTAAAAATAATACTTCTACAGAATGTCTAAATATGTTAATGAAAAAGGAACACAGCAACTGTAAAGATTTAAATGTACCCTCTCCAGGAGTTTTAACAGAAGCGGTGAATAATACTATAAAGATCTTCTCTCTTATCTGAAAAATTGCAGCTGCAACCAGTACAGAAGAGCAATTAGCAAATCACTCCACGGAAGAATAAGGAGAGCATCAGTCTTTCAATTGGTTTAATGCACAGAAGTATGAGAATACACTCCAGAATAATTTAAAGTAACCTGCAGATCATATTACCCAGCCCTACATCCAAGGCTTAAGCACATGACTGAACCATCCCATTTGTTCAGGGTTCTCACCCTGAAGAACTCCAAATGCCCTGTGTTTTTATCACTTTCTGTAGATACAATTTACCATTGCTTCACAGAGGCAGCACTGACAGAAATGAAAAAGACTTTTCATCTGCTGATTTGATCTTAAGTCAGAGATGTCACAAAACAAAAATGTAGTGTGAACTTACCAACTGGAATGTAATGACATTATACAAATGGAATTATAACTTTGCAGACATAATCCATATTTATTGTGGTAAGCTAAATATGTTCAATATGACGAACTGGCTTCCTTTACAAGACAGTTTAATAATACAGTAATTTATTTGTTTAGGGTGAAAGTTTTGCTGAACCCAAAACATGTCCTTGTTTACTACACTATTTAGTCCTAAAAGTCTGGTTAACTATTTTATAATCCTTAATATTTAAAATACAAAGCTAAGAAAGTATAAATCTAAGAAAATGCAACACTTTTACTTCATATAGCAAGGGAATTGTTTGAATGACCACAGTTATTTTCAGCTTCAAATATTAATTCATCCTTACACCATGGGAGTTCTTTCAACCCAACAGGAACTTCTTTTCTTGAAACAAGTAATAAAGACTGCAGGAAATGCTACAAAAAATAAAATTATCACTCTGTTTTCACAATGAACTTGTTTCCAGGACAAACTGGCGATTGAACTTTCAAAACCCTGTGTAATCATCAATAGACCTCACAGTCCAGTCTAAAAGCTTCTGCAAGTTCAACTTCTGCTCTTGATAAAGTTCATATACATGAACGGTTCAGTTATAAAGGGCAATGATGAAATAATAGTTCACATACTGTTCCCAGCAGCTATTGAGTCTGGTTAGAAATTCAGTTCCTCAGTCAGAGTAATCTATGTGTATTAGAGCTGCAATGAAACAACTGCGGAAGGTTCTCTGTGGACTGTGGCACAAGTAACGACGTCGGCTTTCATCCTAACCAGTCACATGGACACTACTCAAGTCTTTCTCACCTGCTTTCTTGTTGGACTCCCACCCCCGTGGCTCTCTCTACTGTAATGGTGGTACAGAACATGACAGTGCACTACAAGCAAAATATTATTCCTACTGGCTTTGGGTGTGCTCTTGATCGACACCAAATATGCAATGTACTTTACTCTTAAAAAAAGAATAAAAAGTTACAAAGTATTAATGATGTTACCCCACAAACCTATCTGCTAGTATACAATGGGGGGTCCAAATTCAGTTGCTGTCTTAAACATGGAGAAAACTCACAAGATAAGTGTGTATATTGATTACAGCATGTAAATATGATTGTGGAGCTATCTGCAGTGTACTTGGCCTTTATTCTCACTAACATACAGCATGTAAGATTACATTACATAATGTAATTAAAATTATAACCGTCTTTGAATGGAAATCTTATACAACATTATGTCACTACATGCTACGCAGAAGCTGATTTGCAAGTATGACAAACATGACAGCTTCTCAGGAGAAATTAAAGAAGAAAATATAATACTTGATAAAGTATGAATCAATTAGAATGCAATGTGCTATACTTGCATCTCACTTAACCAAGAATTAAGGCTTTGACATTTCTTGCTGTTCGTGTTGGTTACAGGAAGCCAGGTCTAGTCCTTCTTTTTCTCCCTGGCCTCCTTGCCTTCATCGTCATCGGTGTACTCCATTGGCTCCTCTCCAGGCTTCAGGAGTCTTCCTACATAATCATACTTCTCTGTAAAAATTCAAACAATAAGAAACCCATGACTCTCATGCACTGGGACTTGTGAAACAGTGGCAGATAAAAACAAAACTAACCCCCCTTTGTAGGCCTTAGCTACTGTATGAAACCTTCTAAAGCTGTCCTGAGCAGACTGCCTTGGACCTTGATGGGAAGTTTAAACTCAGGGTGAAATTACACTTAACACAGTGTAGAGAGTTTATCGCCACCAGACTCAAAAGGATGGAATAGCATGGAATGTTTTACCCTCAACCTTTCATTGAGGGTATAATAACTAAATTAGAGGTTACCATTAACTAGTACATAATTATGCAAAATGGGGTGTACTATGCACATCAAACAGACTTAACCTGTGCCAAGAAGCCAAACCCCTGAATCTTGTACTCACGAGTGAACTGCGTTTCCCATTCCCCCAGGCTTTCCTGCTGCATAGCATTGAGGTCAGACAAGTCATCATGGGTGTCCTTTAAGGCCTCTTTTTCCAAGCAGAATGTGGCAAGGCCTCGGGAGGCATCCCTACCAGCAAAAACCCCATAGGGACCATCTGTAAGCAAATAAATAATAGGTTTTTATTTTACTACTTGGGTAAAAAGTCAGAATGATAACCCCATTCCCACATACTAGTCATTTAGCAGTTCTCTGCTAGGAAATACAACTAGAATCAAATAAATCAAAACATAAAGCTGTAAAAAAAGAACATGCAAGTAAGCAACTGCTTATTAGTGCCAATCAGATGTATGATGAGTTTATACTTAAATACTATAATCTTAAAAACCTTCTATTATAATCTTTTTAAAAAAATGAGCATGTTGTATTAGAGAAACCCCCAGAATTTCACATATGGAAGAGTAAAATTTGGGCTTTCATGAAACAGGCATATTTAGGATGGGCTTTAATTTTTAAATTGATATGACATGAAGATAACTATGGGGAATAACTATGGGGAAGCAAACAGAGCATTAGGTGTGGTACCACCCGCCATTAAAACCAGAATGTCTTCAGGGGCAAGTACATTGTTAAAAATCCTCAAACAGCCACTATTCGGAATAGTTACCATTTAAAATCATTACTGCTCGAACTTCATCCCTCATGAAAATGAGCAAACTGTCAAAGTAGGTCAGGGCCTTAACTAGCACAACGTAACCATCTAATCCGTCATTCGTCACACTTCAGTTATACAAGGCGCAGGTGTAGAATTATCTTTGTACAGTTTAACACCCGAGGGAAAACAAAATAATTGGCAAGCAAGCAGCAGACTGAGGAATTCCTACAGTTTTTTTTTCTCCAGACCTTGTTGCATGCAACGCAGGGACAGATAGCACAGAGGCGTGTGGGTAGTTACCCTTTAAGTTAACTGGGTAAAAGGTAGCTATTGTGAAATTTGATCATTTCACAGCAGCAAACCGTACTTTTTAATGCTACGTGATCTCCGTTTTCTATCAAAATTAACTGCTAATCTTTAAACTAACCTTAGTCATCACTTCTTTTACACTCGCCTACAGGTATAGATAAGAATTTCTGCAGAAGTTTTTATGCCTTTATTAAGCTAAATCCTCTGGTTCCATTGATACGATTTGCTCCTCTTCAAATTCAATGCCAGGTAATCCAAAATTGTACAGTAATAATAAGATGATGCTCAAAGGCCGAATTATGATATTATGAATCTTTTAATGAATATGAATCTAGATCAAAACCAATGAGTCGTGCAATTGTGGCTACAGTAAACTGCACAGCGAAAACAAATATTCCAACAGACATTTAAAGTCATGCACTTAAACCACTTTCTTTGCTTAGTCTTACCTGGACCATAGAATTTCTTTCCTCTGGTCACATCAAACACTTTCCCGTTTACAGCCATGAGAATTCGTGGGTTTGTCACTCCATCGTATTCTTTTAGGTCTTCCAAATTGAAATCTCTCTTCTTTAGCTTGGGCAATGGCTTCTCGACTTCGCCCATATCCGGAGGTTTGTCTCCACGAAAGATTTTGTACAGAAGAAATAGGCACAAACATAAGAGGCTCAGATTGAGCGGAGATGTATAAATTTCTTGCAAAATACTCGTAGAAGTTAACGCTTCTTCTTCAACCATTTTACTTCTGTAAAAAAAACATGAGGGAAACAAACATTAACCAGTTTTCACCAACAGACCAATCACAGGAGGCAACACAATCTATTGAGGACTCTTAGCCCAATCAACGGCCTTTAATAGCAGTGAACAGTGTGATTGGCCTTTAAACAGTAACTGATTGTGGGTGATGTAGTTTTTTTAACCTTATTTAAATGCGTGGAAACGAGGTTTTTAATTTCCCGTTATTACTAACCTTTAATCAAAACTTGCATTATTGCTCATCACACACACATATTTGTGTTTTAGATTCTGTATTTCTATTACTCGCTGCGTCTATGGCTACGGAGAACTGTTTGCCTTAGTTGTTTACACACCTCCTGATAAATCACTAAACTTTAATAGTTTAATTCTATTATGTATAGTATTGGGGCGGAGACGGCACGGTGATGCAGAGGTTAGCATTGTTGGTTTGCAGTGCCGGAGCCCTGGATTTAATTCCAGACCCGGGCTGCTATCTGCCTGGAGTCTGTATGTTCTCCCCTTTTTCATGCGGGTTTTCTCCTGGTGCTGCAGTTTTCTCCCACAGTCCAAAAACATACTAGTAAATTAATTGCCTCCTGAAATAATTGGCCCTAGGTGTGAATGTGTATTTGATTCTGTCTGCCCTGAGCTGGGCCGTGCTCCGTCTAGGGTATACCCTATCTAGCTCTTGCTCCCCATTGACCCTGAATTGGAAGAAACAGCTAGAAAATGAATGGATGGATGGGTATATAGTAATGGACATGTGCATTCATGCACACAGAAGTAGGACATGGAGAACCAGGAGTTAAGAATGTATTCTGGGAACTGTTTGCCTAGATGTTGTGTTTGTGTGGTGTTCGTATAACAATATTATCTTGAGATATCACTGTGCAGCTCAAGCTTATCACATTACATCACAAGCCCATAACAGAGCAGGACTGTCACCATTAGTGATGCGCGGGTTGAGTCACACCCGCGGGCAGGTGCGGATTTACCCGAGGGTCGGGAGGACTCGGGTTAAAAAATATATATTTTAGATCGGTTCGAGCAGGTGCTGGTTCGTTTCTTTCAACCGCGGGAGGTGCTATGTCTAGCTTCCATTGTGCGTTTAGCTGAGTTTTCCAGCTGTTAGAGTTTGCTACCAGTTTAAGTAACATGATCCTCAGGTGGATCGCCTGTGCTATAGTTTCCATCTATATGGTTAGTTCCTAACTATAGTTCATATCTCTATGGATCTCATATATTTGCATGCACCACTACAGTGCATTTACTATTGTTATAAATTGCTGGGGCAGAGCGGTGGCTAAGGATCTGCGCCTGTGGCCGGAAGGTTGCCGGTTCAAATCCCGCAGTTGGCAGAGGAATCCTACTCCATTGGGCCTTAACCCCAACTGCTCCAGGGGTGCTGTACAATGGCAGACCCTGTGTTCTGACCCCAGGCGCTCTCCCTATCTGTGTGTCTCATGGAGAGCAAGGTGGGGTAAGTGAGAAGATAATTCCTAATGCAAGAAATTGTAAAGGGTTAATAAAGTAATATTTAAAAAAAATGAGGGGTTGCAGATATGGATAAGATCTGGAACTGACAGATTAGTCATTTATAAAGTAAATAATGCCCCCAACCTGTAAGGATTTCTCCAAGAATATACCCAAGGTGTTTGTAAGGTTAGATGCACATGAATTCTTTGTCCTCTGGCACAGCTTAAAAGATTAATAATTCAGGTACACGTGGTTAAACAAATATTTAATACCAATGATAGTGACACACCCAACACTACACACAACATAAGCATGCAACACACACTGTATTTACAATTTTACAGACAAGGTGTTTCAGAGACTCCAGGCTAATTAATTCAATGCTTAACCGTAGTGCCAGAAACATTAGGAAGGAAATGCAAGAAAGAGAAACTATTGTATTAACAAATGATTATGAAGTAAATGGAATCAGAGAAACATGGCTTACAGAGAGTGATGGTGACAAATCCGATTTTAGCAGATACACAATGTTCCAGAGAAATAAGAATGATGAAAGAGGTGGAGGTGTAAAATAAAAAAAGAAAAATAACATAAATAAAGGTTAACATGAAATATATGGGCCAGACTTATGAAACAAGATTCAAAAGGCATGGTGTTAAAAGTATATTAACTATAGATAATATTTATATTACAGTTTTATAAAACAAGGAACATTTGTGAAAAGAAAGAATTGGTTATCATGGGAAATTTAAATTCTTCCTCACCATAGTTCAGAAAAGAGCATAATGTCACTCAAATATTTGCTTATCAAAATTTGTTTAACATAATAAAGTAGTAGACAAGGCTAATGATTCACTTCAATAAACCCGCTGACAACTCTCTGCCTTCCCTGACCTTGGTCAGGGTACCTTAGTTAACTCCTTCAACTTACAAAAATTACCACCTGTAAAAAAACTTCCTGCTGCCTAGATCCCAACCCTACCTCTTTATTGAAAGCTTGCTTCCCAGACATCTGCCTAATTCATGTTAATTGTCAACATCATCAACATTTCCCTTTCCCTAGGTGTGGCCCCTGCTACCTTGAAGACTACGTCTATCTCCCCTATACTGAAGAAACCTGGCATGGACTCTGATAATGATGAACTACAGAACAATCTCTAATTTACCATTTCTACCAAAGGTTTTAGGTGTGATTGCACATCATCTACAGGCACATATGGTAGGTAATAGCTAACCACACCTGAAGAAGGCTCAGCAGCCAAAACATTGTGTTTCTTTTCTTCTCTTGTAATAAACTTTTATTTGTTCCTGAGATAGCTAATGACTTGTTTGAGCCATTTCATTCTGGCTTCCACTCAAATTATAGCACTGAGACTGCTCCTGTCAGGGTTGTGAATCATTTACTTATTGCCTCTAACTAGGGGGCTTTAAGTATCCTTTTATCCTTTTTGATACAGTGAATCATTCATTGTTGCTCAGTCGCTTGCAGACATTCTTTTCTACCAGCGGTACTGTTTTTATCTGGTTTTGCTCTTATATGACTGTCAGGCAGCATTTTGTCTCCCTGTCTCCCTTGGATCTCATAAATACCCCATGGCCCCAGTCAATCATAGTGTGCCTCAGGGTTCAGTCTTGGGCCCTTTGCTTTTTATTATTTATATGCTACCTCTCAACCAAATTATACACAAACATGGTCTTCAGTTTCATTGCCACACAGATGATACTCAGATTTATGTTAAAATGTCTTCCCCTTCTGGTCTCCCCCCTCCATCACTTATCTCTTGTTTGCAAGACATCAAACTCTGATCGACATCAAATTCCCTAAAGCTAAATAGGGACAAAACAGAAATTTTACTTGTGGGCAGCAAATCCCAGATGGAAAAACTCAAGGGCTTCACAATAATGGTGAATGACTTCCACATTCAGACGTCAACCATAGTCAGGAATCTAGGAATCACACTTGGTCCTCTCCTGTCTTTTGAGTCACATATGAAAAAATTCATTAATACATTTGAATCTTTCTTTCACCTTAGAAATATGCTGAGGGCCTGATCCATGCATACATAACATCAAGGCTTGATTTCTCCAGCTCCTTAACTTTCTTTTTCACAATATGTTCAAAACTCTGCAGCTACACTACTTCCTCACACCAGACCCTGACAGCATATTACTCTTACATTTAAGTCTCTACACTGGTTGCCTGTAAAGTTACAAATTCAATATAAGATCTTGTTATTATCTTTCAAGGCTCTAAACCAGGGGTGCCCAACCAGTTGATCGCGATCAACCAGTCGATCCCAGAGTGCTTGCCAGTCGATCGATCGCTTTTCCCACTAATAGTGAGTTACGGAAAAGAAAAGTGGAAAAATTAAAATCTCAACTAGCAGCAGTCGTTTTTCACCGACTTTTCATCTTGAGGTCTAATACAAGAGGGAAAGCGGCAATCATCGCATCCTTCTGTGTGAGCCACGTCCTGCCTACACACAAAAACTAATTCAGGGATCAAGAAGTAAAAAAAAAAAAGTGTTTGTTGAGGCTGCTGACTTGCTGTTTGGAGATTTCAAAAACTAACATTTAAACTAAGGTTCAGACAGCTGTTGCCTGAAATCAAAGAGGTTCCCAAGTCGTCTAAACATGGTGAATATGCCCAATTAGAGGCTGACCAGTGGCTTCTGGATTTAGCATTCCTCACTGAACTGCTGAATTAGCTGAATGTCGAGTTGCAGGCACAAAATAAAAATGTAATCGACATGATCAGCAGTGTCAACACATTAAAAAAATTACAAATGTTCTCAAGTAAGCTTCTCAGTACCAGTGCTCACTCTAAAGTAGGATATTATTTTTTCTAAAATGGGGAACATCGTTATCGTTATTGTACTGATGTGCCCATAGTCTCTGTTTTTCCTATATCAGATCTTCAAACTCACACTGGTAGATCGCGCTGGACTGGCAAATGAAAAAGTAGATCTTACATTAAAAAAGATTGGGCACCCCTGCTCTAAACAATCTGCCTCCATCAAAAATCTCTGAACTCCCCCCTGGACCCCTACTCACTCTCCCTAGCACTAAATCACAGACAGTGTTGTGGAATGACCTTACTCTGATTTTATGAGAGACAACTTCTGTAACTCTCTTCAACTCTAAACTTAAAACCTACCTTTGTACCAAGTCTACGTCTGACTGCCTACAGTTAACCTGTAAAAACCTGTATGTTTTTTTTCATTTACTCTTATTCTACCTTTCTTGTTTATTTCCTTATTCATGATGTACAGTACAGCAGCTTTGTGTTTGGAAAGGCACTTAGAAATAAAAGCGATATTACTATTATAAATATTTAATAATAATAATGATAATGATAAATACAGTAGATTTTGTAGGTTTTGCAGTAATACAGCACCAAATTACCATTGTGATCAATTAGACAGGGGATATTAATTATATTATATTAGACAGGTGATAAATTAATTAAGTAATTCCAAGATCATTTTGTGCTAAAAGCTGGATATTATTCAGCCCTCAAGTGTAAGAGGTCTCTTAATTGAAAAGATAATATGCTTGATTCATCAATACTGTTACGAC